GAATAGATTTTTCACTTAAACTAATAACATTTTTAAACCCGATTTTATATTAATTTATTATTATTACCAGTATTTTTTTTTTTTTAAAAAACCATTATTACGTCATTATATTTGCTATTTAATGATCATATTAAGCTTTGAGTTATTAAACAATCAAAAAAAATTATAGACTCAAACTATTAAAATTCATCAAAATTGATCTGATACAGTATAAGTTTTAAAACCCGAATTTAGTTTTCTTTAATATTGCATAAATTTTATATATATTTGCTATATATATTTACATAATATATTATATACAACTTTATACTCAATTGTGACCTAACCAATTATACACACGTGTTTGCTAATTTAACATATTATACTTTACTACTTTACTAAATCTTACTTTATTACTATTTATATTACTCATTTAGATTCAATCCTAATTTCTTATTCTTTTGATTTTATTTCTCATTTTTATGTCTATATATATAATCATTATTACTGTGTCTTGCATATATATTTCAGTATTTTTACACCAACCATCAATATAATGAATTGTTGGTGTGATTGTGGGTGTAATATCTACAAACATAAAGAAAAATTTTGATTTATTACTGCATCTCATATAAATATCACAATAAAATCTTATGATAATTTATATGTATTGTAATCATTTTTTAAGAGTTTGCTAGAGCAACTCCCAAAAGTTTGGTCAGATGATCTGTGCACTACAGCCACAGTATATTTGGTTCGATATAAAAGGTTAGTTGCATCATATGACCTCTTTATTGATTCTTACTTTTTGTTCATTTATTTTTTGCTTTATTAAACAACTTTTATTAATCTTCTCTTAAAGATAATTTTACATCAAAAACATGAAAATTTCTTCTATATAAACACTCTATATCCTCATTATAATAATAAAATAACAATTATCATAGAATCTTTGAAAACTTAAACTGCATTCCTCTTTTGCATAAAACAACTCAACAAATTTATATAGCTCTAGTCCTTTGGCAGTATATGAATAGTCACAAAATTGATATTCTTCTTTATTATTATCAAAATCGCGTAATCTTTCAAATAATAAAATTATATAATCTATTTTCATAAGTAATTTATACTCGTAAATGTGCACAGAAAGAAATTCAATAAATTCTTTAATTTGATTAAATTCTTTATTGTGAGCATCATAATCATCCATACACTCAGGAATTTTGTCCATTACTATTAGTTTCAACATGTATCGTGCACTGCTAATCAACCGTTCATAGACAAGTGGAAGAATATATTTTATACAATCTTTAAACTCACCACTGTTATAATTATTTGCAATTAAATCACTGCAAATCTTTGCAACTGGGTCATCCATTTATTTGAATTTATTTTGAAATGTGTATATTATAGAACAGTCAAATATACTCAATTGAAATTTTATTTTATTTCAAAATATGCAGTGCTATATCACTTAAACTTATACGGTTTTTTAACAATTATTAAAGCTATACTAAAATTACCAATTTCGCAATTGTTATTTAAATTGCCTTTATTCGAATAAAATTAGCTTGACTAAAGCTAATTAATTACATTTAATAACTATTTGTTTGCATAAAATGGCTAATTCATTAAATTATATAACTATCTATTTCTTTACTTCGAATAGATTAGATTGAGCTAACCATTATTGTACTAAATAACCTATAGCCAAAATAGCTAGTAAACCTAGCCAAATTCACAGCACAATAAAAATTTTACAAAAATGATTAATTAAATTTAATAAAAGAAAGTCACATGTTCATTAAAATACTATACTTATCTTAGCATAAAGACAATATCTAAAAATAGTATTTTATACGAATATAGAAACCCATGACAATTGTTAGATATTTTTTGAATGACCTGTGTTTTGGTTTATCAAATTGTAATTATTCTTACCCCTAATATAATAATATTGCAATTAATTTTTATCAAACATCACGGACACATTGCAGACAATTACCCATGCTTTAATATCCTTTTATTAAGCATTGCAAATAATTACTTATCTAATCTTTCACAATGGAGCATATGTTGACTATTTTTTATAAATATCTATTGTAATAGGCAAAATACTAAAAAAAATTTTTAACTATTAGATTCTTTTATCAATTTTGAGATTATATTTAAAGCTTCATCCATATACCAAACATACGCTTATAAAATGGTCAGTTGCAGTAATTGGAAAGTTGATCATCTCGATGAACAATTTATTTGGAGTAATTTGCATCACAAAATATGCATCATATGTAGAGATAATCGCACAAGAAGGAGAGGAAAGTGCACACAGAATGAGAAAAATCTAATTATGAACATTGACCAAGAGGAACAAGTTAATAATGGTATACATGCTAAGATTGACTATTTCAAAATTGAAGATTTTGTTGAACATGAAATCAGAGAGTTAACAGATGATGCAAAAGTCAATGAAATAGAGGATACAATTTATCAAATTACCAAACAAATTTGTTAGTATATATTGATGTATCTATGCAAGATATGATACCAAAAGAAGTGGCAGATCTTGTCATTATTGAGGTTGAAAATGGTGATGATTATTCATGGAAGTAAGTGCTAATTATTATTATAAAAAAAATTTTTTTTTTATAATACCTAAAAAAAAAATATTATTTTAGTTATAAAAAGGCAGAGTTATTAAAAAAATTTAGCATGGTTGATATATTTATATACTATTATTGCCAGTTATATGAGGCGCATCGTGAATTGTATAAAGACTTGAACTGTAAACATCGTGAGCATTACAATTGCGGAGGTAAGATTATGGTAAAATTGATATAGCACTTGGTATAGCAACGGTGAATATATATACCATGATTTATTCATCTATGCCCAGACTTTATTGCTGAAATGCCTGATGAACTAAAGAAGGAGATAAGTATACATGCATATCTTACTACAACCGAATTAATAAATTATCTACAACACAAAAATTTTGATATCTCAAATTATTCACATAAGCGAATATATTACTAGAAATCTATTGCAAATCAGAATAGATTTCAGCGTCACAATGATCTTGTTAAGTCTGCATTTAAACTACTTGATAAATATAGTAATTTGGGCTTTCGCCATGCTTATATATTTGAAATTCAGAGTCAGTTGCTATTGGATTTATTACACCATTATTAAATAAGATTAAGGACCAAGGTATTTAAATATCTTGATGCCTACGAAAGCTATATGTTGTGCCTTAGATGAGTGCTACCAAGGGAAAATGTGACTTCTGTTTATTAAATAATATCATAGATAATCATGAAATTGGATAATGGTGAAATTTGGGGTCTTATTTTGAAAATATAAAACCTACTGAAATCTACTTATACTCTTTTTTAAACAACTCTAACTCTAAATTATAATATATCACTAAAACAAAAAGCTAGGATAATACACCCCAAAAAATTCCAAAATTTCATATTAAATTAAATTCAAATTTCACTATTCAATTTTATGATTATCTGTGACAAATAATAAATCAAAGTCTCATTTCTCTTGGCAGCACTCATAGAATATATACCTAAAAATTAAATATTAATTGCTAATATTAATATTTTTGTAATATTAAAGGTATTAATTAATATAGCAGAAATATAAATGGATGCGACTTACAAGACTGCAAAAGGATGGTACGAATTATATAGCATTGTAGTTGATGTTAAGGGAGCTGATTTCCCAATTGCCTATATAGTGATCGATACAGCAAAGATAGAATTATAAATACTAGCACAGGAAGGCACCATGAGATCTTGAAGCAATTTTTGATAGCAATAAAAGAAAGTGGTGTCAAACCAGACTTCATGTTTATGGATAAAGATTTTGGAGAAATAAATGCAGTGACTAATGTGTGGGGGCTTTTGAAAGTTCAACTCTGTCTTTGGCATATAGAAAGGGCATTAAAATGAAAATTAGTAGAAAAATACATAAAAACAAAAAATTCAAGCCTAATATCTGTAGCTTACAATGTGAGTCATGTGGCAAACAAATTTGATTTTATTAATCTTATGTTTTATCCAACAGAATTCGATTGAGATTCACAAAATTATGTTATATGCCCAATAATATATCATGAGCAAATTTTAAAATTGGTTAGAAAACACTATAGCATACACCCACTAATATTATGTAAGTTAAGTTCAATTTAAATTTTAATTAAATACATGCTATTCTGGGTATAAAGTCTAATTTCTTTGTTCTATTTTCTTTGTTTATCTACTAATCTTGATCTTGATAACAGTTAATACTCAAGAAGGCATGATGTTACCAGTTGATATCAGAAGATCTGCTGTAAATAAAATGTATCAATTTTGTGTTAAAAATGATTTGCAGATTTTATGGGCATATCTATGAACTAACTGGTATTCACCTAGTCAATGGCACCTCTGGATGCATTCAATTAGACCTACAATTCCTCTTAGTAAAACAACGATGAAAATCGAAATGCACTGGAACGTGATTAAATGATGTTACTTACATTGTTTTAGTAATCCCAGATTAAACCTTATGTTTTGGACTCTGCTTGATAAAGTCATACTAACACAAAATGATCATCTTTCTCAAGTTCTAAATTGTATGATAAACCCATGTTGGTGGGAGGATTTCAAGAGAAAATGGAATTATCTGAGTGCAAGTAATGAATGCTGGATGAGTAAAATAATAAAAGTAAAAAAAAATTAACTGACCCACAGTCAACAGACTTATCTGGATCATATTTTACAGAAATTTCTCATTGGATTTGCAGTTGCTCTGCTTTTGTTAAAAGCTATTTTTTAATGTGTAAGCACTTGGTTCAACAGGTTATAAATATGTCCAATGGAACAAGACAGCAACTAATTAGAAAAAATTTTAAACATCAGACCACACCACCTTTTCTTATCATAAAGAACCTCAATTATAATGAATTTATAAATTCAATACCTATAACCACTGCTATTTCTCCTTCTGAATCTACAAATCTTATACCTATGACCACTGCTATTTCCTCTTCTGAAGCTTTTAATAATATTGATGAGAATCCAGGAGAAGTTCGTAATTACATTGAAGAAAAGTGGCCTCTAATTGAGCAAACGATAAAGAGGATATGTACTGAACAGTCTTCTAATAACTGGCATCATGTTCGTGCAATGATAGACTGGAGTAGATTAGCAGATATGGAAGAAGAAATAGAAACAGTAGAGAGGAAAAGGTATAGACAGGCTACTTGGGCTCCAAATAAAAAGCCATATTTAATGTATTTACCTCTCTCGAATGAATCAGAAGTAACAAAGAGTAATGTAATTAATAATAATGATGTAAATTATGTAAATTAAGTAATAGGAATTGAGCATTTATTATTTTCTTTTTTTTTAAAACAATGTGCCAAGTGCAAATAAACATTTACATACGTACTTTAATGCCCTCTTTCATAAATTTTTATACCTCAATAAATTTTATTGCTTGTCTATGTGTCATACAGTTTCGTTTCTTATACCAAGAGCGATTTGTAAATTATTAATTAAATTGTTAAATAAATTGCATCGGTCAAATCGAACATTTTACGTATCTAACGTCCCATCGATAAGGAGGTCGCACGACGCAACTTTGATTTCATTGGAGATCCTCTATGCACTGCGGCTGTGGCGTTGATCATCTGACCGGACTTTTGGCTGGCGAACTCATTTTTTAAATTCAGTCAATTAACTCATGACATATATATCTATACATTTGAATACGTTAACATATTTTTACGAATTTTACTTGAACGCTTATAGGAAAAAATAACACTGAACTTGAGATCTATTTCAGGACTAATACAAAGTTTATTCATTCTGACTGAAACAGATATACTACCAAATCAGCACGTTATACATGTTATACACGACAAGGGTAGAACCGCCATTCAAACTATTTTGCTAAAAAATTTTGTAACATTAGGTTAAAAATTTTACATTATATTAAGATTCGAAAATACAACTTAACCAAAATTTACAAGGAAAATTTTTATTAATACGCAAAAGGCAGTTCCTTAGGCTAAATTTTTTAAGTTATAAGCAATTTTTTGACAAAACAAAACAAAACGAACGTTTGTTTTGAATTTTTCTGATTCTAGAGTTAAAGTCGCGTAATTTTTGGCACAAATAAATTTTTTCGAGTTATTTCCTCACCATCTCTACAACACATTTTGTTGACGAGATATTTTAAATTTTTTTCCTTCGTTACAAATGAAATTCAAAATTATTAAAAAATTTACGAAAAAATCTAGCACATTAAATGAAAAAATTTTTCTGATTGGTGTATATATTAAAAGAAGATTGCTCAAAGTTATCCAAGTGAGTCAATATTGTAAATTTATTTCTATTTATTACTGTATTAACCAAAACGAAGAAGTACTAAACTTTGATCCTTCAGATTACTGAAAAAGAGACCCTAACACCCAGAGAACTTAAATGATTGAAACATATACTGACTGAATGGCTGCGTTTGATAACAGTTAATAAACATAGTTCTCACATTGCTCTTGCTGTGGAATTAAGAAGTCTAAAGCAAATATACGACATCACAAATCCTGTTTACAAAATAATTGGTGGTTTGCTAAATGAATTAAAGGGAGTAATCTATTGTTTACTACTGTACTATAACTAACTTTATTTGATAATGCCGTACTGGGTGCCGGTCAAAATCCCGACAAGCACAATCCTGAAAGGTCATAATCCTGACAAAAAAATCCCGACAGTTAAAAATCCGACAATTAAAAATCCCGACAGTCAGAATTTTCAATTAGAAAATCCCAAATATGGGGTATGTTTAAAGCGAAGTAGACTCTTATAATTTAATTAACTTTAGAGTTAGGTCACTTTAGATAAGGGTTAGGCTAGAGTTAGCTATGGTTTATGATATTTTTTATCAGAATTTTTAATTGTCGGGATTTTTGGCTTTCGGGATTTTTTTTGTCGGGATTTCGCTTGTCGGGATTTGACCCAAACCCCTTAACGATATTCTTCTATAAAAAGAACTATAAAATAAAAGAAATGCAAATATTGGGCTAAGTATCATAGATTGCGTCCAGAGAACAAATGAAAATAATCTTTTAAGAAGTCAGTCAAAGGTATTTTTTATAAATATGCGATTAACTTGGAATATGAAAATGAAAAGTTAAGCTAGGACATGCAGAGTTTACTATTGCAATTGAAATATAAAATTGTTCTCATAGCTATGTCCATACAGTAGTTTTATAATCGATACAAGTGATGAAGCTATCATAAATCTTTTTAGTGATTTTCTGAAAAGCAACACATAACTACTTACAATATTCTTCCAGAACCGGCATTGTATTAGGGGTTGTAATTGCACTAT